GAGAGAGGGAGGGAGGGAGGGAGAGAGAGAGAGAAATAGGGGAGTGAAAATTGAAACTGAATGTACAAGTACATATCCTAACCTCCTCTTGGTGGCATAATGATTGTTGGTGATGAAAAACCAGGTAGAGTTACTTCCTAGTAGAACAATGAATACATAACTTCTTCTATTTCACTCTTCCTCCCTCATTCCTTCTTTATTCCTCCTCTCCCTCTCTCTCCCCATTCTCTCCCCCCTCTCTTTCTCCCTCTCCCTCCCCCCTCTCTCTCCCTCCCTCCCTCCCTCCCTCTCTCTCCCTTACTAATGAGAGGAGTCCTTCAGGTAGACAAGGTATAAGAAACAGTTTATTGGCCACGTCTTCAATGGTCTCCCAAAATGAGTCCTCCCTCTCCTCCTCAGATAACAGTCTATACATACTACAATAAGAACCACATTATCATTATAGATTAGATACATTGCAAAATCATATACATGTATACATTTGTACATGCACAGTACATGCAGTAATTGTACTTATTTCCCACTCCAGCTATACCTCAAAGGGACCGCCAGTGCAATAAATCAGATACAGTGCACTGTGGTTTTCACACATTATTGACCTTTGACTTTTTGAATAATAATAATACTATTGACAATTTGACACAAAATTAAATTTTTAAGCAAATAAATTATAATTATAGTCCCATTGACTATTGAGAGCAGAGTTTTTCGGCATTTTATAGATGGATAGGTCTTCTAAAGCCTCTTTCGATACAGCAACAAAACTCTCGCTGTCCTCTCCACCTTCCTTCTTTCTTCTCTTTAATGAAAGCGACACTTTCCTCTTTTTGGGCAGATTGCAGTCGCTCCTGTCAGCCATCTCTAAGCTCTCCTCTACTTGTCAGGTACTTGCCACGTGTAAAATTGCTTTGCGCATACGCAGTGTGTGTACCGTATAGCTTCAATTGGAAATAAATTTGTTATAACACCCATGCTCGTGCAATAACATATACATGTACATGTATTGTATTGTATAGTATAATGGGAAGCATTGGGAGGAGGTAATGGATTTGCCAAAAATTTAACTGATAGTTGTTATATTGACATTCTGGAGCCATGCATCATTTAACATGTATAGAATCATACACAAAAGAGTGGTTCTTGCATAATACATTAATTGACAGCTACTTCAAGCTTTAAAAAAACAATTCATAACATCCAGCCAATATTCAAATAATTATTATCAATTATCAATATTTACTAGTAATCTACATGAACTGTAATCTTACCCAGACAGTGCTTCCTTC